TGTACCTAATGACTGGAATTGCCCAGGTGTTGATTGCCTTTATGGTATTTCCTCCATTGAGTTTGGACTTTAAGATCTTCTTCACTCTCTTGATGTATTCACCTCTAATCTTTTTCTTGACTTCAGTGTGCTTGATGTTGTCAGCTTGAAGGATACCCAAGTATTTGTAGTACTCTTCCTCATCCAGACTCTTAATGTTATTTTCGTGGGGCATCTTGATTCCTTCAGTTTTCACTATTTTTCCTTGTTTGATAGTAAGTGTGGCACATTTGTCCAAGCCAAACTCCATTACAATATCTTGGCTATATATACGGACAGTGTTGAGCAGCGATTCTATTTCAGATGATGTTTTTCCATACAGCTTCAGATCATCCATGTAAAGGAGATGGGATAGTCTGGCAGATGTTTTTGATGTTTGATAGCCATGTCCTGAGTTATTCAGTATTGTTGACAGAGGAAACAGTGCAATAACAAATAGTAATGGTGATAATGAATCTCCTTGAAATATTCCTCTCTTGATATTAACCTCTCCCAGCTTTTCACCATTGATCTGCAACTGTGTCTTCCATTGTGCCATCGATTTTGCACAAATTTTCTGATGTTTCTACTACTCCTGTTATTTCTAGGCACTTTATTATCCAATCATGTGGCAGAGAGTCAAATGCCTTTTTGTAGTCAATCCATGCCACATTCAGGTTGGTCTTCCTTCTCTTGCAGTTTTCCAAGATCATTTTGTCTATTAGGAGTTGATCTTTTGTTCCTCTGCTATTGGGGCGGTTTCCTTTCTGCTCAGGTGGAAAGAGATTGTTTTCAACTAGATGCTGTTGTACTGCATCAGCTACCACACCAGTTAGTAATTTGAAAGTTGTTGGTAAGCAGGTAATTGGCCTGTAGTTACCTGGTGTTGCCCCTTTTGCTGGATTTTTCATTATTAGGTAGGTTTTCCCAGTTGTTAGCCACTTTTCAATTTCTCCTCCTTGTAGTATATTGTTGAACTGCTTGGCAATGAGTGGGTGTATAACAGTTAGATGTTTCAACCAAAACCCATGCAGTTCATCTTCACCTGGTGCTGACCAATTTTTGATTTTCTTTGCTCTTTTTTCTACCATTTTTGTTGTTATTACTAGTTCTTTCATTTCAACTTCTGTTTTATTTGCATCCACCTCTTTTAACCAAGCGCATCCTTGTTGTATTTCTTTGGGTTATCCCATATCTGCTTCCAGAACTGCACTGTTTCTTCCTTGTCAGGTACTGACTGATTCCTTGCAGTTTCTCCATTGATGGATTGGTAGAAACGTTTCTGATTGGATTGAAATTGGAGGTTCTGCCTATAGTTTGCAATTCGAGCTTCATATCTACTGATTTTCCTGGCTATAGCTGTTATTTGTTGCTTTATTATTTCCAGTGCTTCCTTGATCTTCCTTGTTTCTAAGTGGTATTTCTTGATTAGGTATTCTTTGGTCTTCTTGTTCTTCAGCTTCTTTTCTTTCATCTGTTCTAGCTTGCTTGCATGTGATCTTAACTTGCTGATCTTATTTTCTAGTCTAACCTTCCATTTTTGTGGTGCACTGTTTGTTTGTTTTTCTTTTTTGTTGATTTTACATCCCAGGTATTCTGTTATAACTGCAGCTGTGCTGTACATTAGTTGGTTTGTTTCTTGCAGTGAATTGGTGCTTATACTTGCTATTGCAGTATTTGCATCTTTTAATGCTTGTGCTAGCTGTTTCTTTGGAACAAGCTTCAATGCAGGCAGCCTTATTCTGTTGTTTTTGTGCTGTTCTAGATGCTCAGTTATTCTTTGTTTCAATTCTTTTATTTCTTTAGTTAGAGGGTTTTGTTCTTCCTGAGGAAGAGGTGCCTGGTTTCCAAATGAGAACAGTTGTATATCTCTACTGGATTCTTTCACTGCCAACTCCCCCTGGTTTGCCTCTACATTCTGAATTACTTCTTGTAAGGCTTTGATTTCTTTGCCCTGGGTAAACCTTTGCAGTTCGTCCAATTCTGTTTCTGTAAATACTTTATTTCGTGTTATAAATCGGCGTTGATCTGCTAGTCTCTGTTCTGTTATTTCTGATTCTGGATGTTGTTCTTTCCAGAATTGGTGCATTCGTTTTAGATATCCTCGCCTTGTTGGACTTGATCTGTAGTAACAGATCATTATTTCTTTGTTTTCCATCACTGTGTATCTGCGACGGGTAAACACCTTTTCTTCCAGTAGTTCTGCAGCTGCTGGCCCTGGTTGCTCAGCCAACAGTCCTGAGTCCTGTAACTCATTTTTCACCAGATATCCAGGAACTCCAATATCTAGTGTGGACCTTGTTAACCCGGGCGACGTCCGAGCCGGTATGGCATTCTGAAATTTACGTCTCACCATATTTTTTATGGGAGAGACACTCTTTGTCTGACTCCTCTGATGAGACCTGTCCAGTATGGTTGAACCTCTGGCATAGCTCTCATCTTCCTCAGAGTACACAAGCCCCACAACCACGTCAAGGTAGTGCCTCACTGGAGGTATTATTATTATTATTATTATTATTATTATTATTATTATTATTATTATTATTTTGTAAAAAGTGATGGCTATTGCTGGTCTATGATCATAATAAAGTTATTCTTCCTCCAAGCACTACATAGCCTTTATATACATTATATATACATTACATAGCCTTTATATGAGAAATACTGATGGAAGGCCTTGTGCCTATATACGCTATGAATGAGTCTTGATATACTTTCATGGGGTCCAATAAGGAAAAATAATATTTTCTGAGCAGTTAATGTCATCTTCAGGTCATGAGTATATTTGACATTTCTTAACACTTGAAACCACTGAGTCTCCAAAACTAGATAGTCCAATTCTTCATTCCAAAATTCAGATATATAGCTAACGCTTCCATCTCACGTTTTAATTTTTGATAAAAATGAATTGTTGGTTCAACCACTGCATTTCTTAAGGCTCCTAAATTTGCAGGTGGCTGTTAGAAGATCTGGGCCATACTCTTCAATGCTTATGTTTCAGCTGCATATCTAGCCAAGCAAAGATTGTAGATAATACTCAACACAGACTCTCTCAAAGAGTTAAAATATTTGAAATCAACTGAGTTTGATCTCTTATTTAGCCCAAGATTTCTAACAAAACATCTTCTTTGTCATTTTCAAATCTGGTTATTCCATAACTTCAGTTTCTCATAAGATTTGCGATTAAAGCATAACTGCTCATCTGTTAATAAACAAATAGTTTTGGCAGCCAAGATCCCTACATCATGAAGTCTGCAAAAGCCTTGGACAGTTATTTTTTCGAATGAAGATATATATACGTGTCCCGGGATAATGTTGTAGGATCTCACCTGGCTCAGTCACTGGGAGCAGAGGGTTAATCTTCCAAGCTTTTGGACTCAGGGAACTTCTCTCTAGCAGAGATACTTTTTCCTCATCCTCCCCCATTAATTACTGAAGAGAAGAGCTGATGCCAGAAACACAAATGGCTGATTTTTATGGTCAGATAAGGTAAGGTATGCTGTGTCCAAACCTGTCTTCCAGAAATCTAATCTATTCAGCAAACCAAATGGGGACATATTATGCTGCCAGTTCTTTGAGAAATCAAGTGTGGCTAGTTTGAATGGCAACTATTAACATGAAGGCAAGAGAAAATTTGGGCGAAGGGGTGAGGGGAAGCTTTAAATACCAGGAGAATACACTAGGGAACAAAGTTTGCCTCTGGAGAAGGACCCAGGAGCAACAGAGAATAAGGTGAGGAAAAAACAGCCAATTTCTTTTGTAGCAAACTCTCTAGAAAAGTGGGTGAGGCAGGTCAGGAACTTAGAGTTCTAGTGATGAATAAAAACTAGCTGGTGACATAAGCCATTCACTCAGTTTCAGTCCTAGGAAAGGAAGTGTATTGTCTCCGATGTTGCATCACATATATACGAATGATCAACCAGTCTCTGACTTAACATGATTATTTATCTATGCAGATGATATAGCAGTGGTCACACAAGGATCAAGTTTTGATGAGTTGGTAGGAAGACTCACTGTTGCACTTGAAAAATTAGAATGGTATTACACCATCAATCATTTGAGACCCAATCCAAGCAAGACCCAAGTGTGTGCTTTTCGTCTTTGAAATCGAGATGCAGGGGTGGAGTTGAATGTTTCATGACAAGAGAATCGAATACCGCCTTGCACTACACCAAAGTATCTGGGTGTGACACATGATAGGATACTTTCAATAGCAGTTCTGGAGAGAATCAAGCAACAGAATGATCTCTGGCATCCTCTGAATGGATATGTGTCCCAAACTCATTGATTCAGATCTAGGAAGAGTTTTATGGCAAGAACAAATATTCTTGAAGGCACACAGGAGAAAAACTGAATTAGAAGGTGGAGGAGAGAATTTACAGAACAAGAAATAATCCCAGAAGAGAACATGACTGAGGGATTTGATATCCCCTATGTTATTTGGAGGACGTTGAATAGGCTGAGGGTGGGAGTGCTAAATATAATACCAATATGCTCAAATAGAGATTGCAGCAGGATAACTACATTCAGTGTGAATGTGGGAGACACAAACTGGTCCATTTGTTGGTCTGTCCATTACTGCCAATAGAGTGCACGAAAAGAGATTTGTTTCTGGCAAATAAGAAAGCTAAAAAGGTGTATTTTAAGATTTGTTTTGGACACAAAATAAATAAAGAAATAAAATAATGCCCTAGGAAGACGTAAGTAGACAAACTGTCTTTCCTGGGCTGGCATAGGAAGCTCTGCTTTTGTTGAGAGTTGATGTCTCCTTGAGCCTAACTTGTCATTCTTTACAACTCAGACTTGGTGTTTTGGTTCTGCTAAGGGAAAATCTTTAAATCTGAAGTTGTTCCACAGGATGAAACACCCATGACCTTCCCTTATATTTCAAGACTTGAATCATCCTGTTCTATGACCAATTGTAGGACCATTTTCAACTAGGAGTCACAATTTGTCGTTAATCTGTAGTTGGTGCTCTCTCATTCAACGCTCTTCCAGAAAGACTGCTGCAGAAAGGAAACATTACCTCTGTCCTAAGCGAGTGGCTTCATGCAAAGCAAGAAATGGATACTACAAAATCACATGGATTTTTCCTAGCCAGCTTCCTTGTCCTCATGCTCTTGGGTGATCTCACTGAGGCCTGTACATGTCAGCGACTAGGTCTGCGGAAAGCATGTTGCCATCATGACTTTGGTGAGTTTTGAAAATGTATATTTTTTTCCCATCCCTTACCACTCCCCATTTCTCTACTTTGTAGGTTTTGCTGCCAACATAAATTCTTCCAGTTGTAGCAAAATCATTCCTATGTCATGAAAGCCGAATATATTTCTTAATTCAGAATCCTTTGTAAATAAGATTAACCAGCACCAATGAGTTTGTTCTGTATTGAAAAATCTGCAATTTAAAACCTCTTACTGGAAAATCTCTCTCACACCCTCTCTCTCTCCTTCCTTCTCTAGTGATGAGGGTCCTATTTATGGGTGTCCAGCAGGATCCTGACTCTCCTTCATATATGCGCATAAATAAATTTTCTATTCGGCCTGTTCAGGTAAGCCTCTCATCTTCCTGAAACATATGACGAAGAGCAAGTTGGCAGATATTCAATCTTTTGTGAAGGGATATTGTCCCTCTCATGACAAATTCTCTTGACCTACTCTTGCCCTGAATTATTTTTCTTTCTGAAGGTATTCAAGGGTTCAGGGAGAGCAGTAAATGCACAGTTTCTCTACTCACCAGAATTAAACTCTTACTGTGGATATATACATAATGGTCCTTTCGAAGAAGATGACTACCTAATTTCAGGTACAGAATACCAATAAACTAGTAACAACACAATTAATACATATATAAATTAAAAAGGACGGTACTTTCAACATTATCATTATTCCTAATCTAGTCTATGTTATATCTTGGTCACTTTCCATCCCATTTTGGAGGGATAAGCAAGTGTCAGTGAGGTATTGTCAGTTCCTGTAGAGATATGAAGCTTGCTTTACAAGACTACAGATTTTCTAAGAAAGGGGGATGGGGTGGCACAGTGTTTAATGACACTGGAACTGCTGGCCAGAAATGGTCTGCACTCCGGTGGTTAGAGCCCAGCACTGTGAGACAGAGTGAGATCCCATAACTAGATCCCTAGCTCCTTCACACCCAGCCATTCAAAAGTGTATAACATTCAGTGGGAAACCTGCATTTCTGTGTGCAGAAAGCAGAAGTCAAAGCTGGACCTGACCAGATGCAAGCCATTGTGACAGGAGGTGAGGCGAGACCAATGGATGAGCCCAGAAGAGCAAGCAACCCAAGCACTGCTTCTTTGCTGGTGTAAAGCTAGTTTGCCACCAAGGATATGCACTCAAGCATCAAATAGATGAGCTAGCAATCTAAGCTGCCAGGCCTACATTGGGTCTAGTATGCGTACATTTCCCTGACATTGTATGCCATATGCTAAACAAATAATAAATGTTGAGAAAAGGAGCAATTTGGCTTATTTGGAACTGACATCATTCCCTACTTAACATGTAAAGCAAACACCAACAAATTTTAAAGAAGTTTTGACAAGTCACTGTGAACAAATCTTTAGTCACATATTGACTCCATTTTTATGTATCTTTTCTATTTCAAAAGGTTCAGTTTATGAAAATCGTCTTGAAATCTCAATGTGCAGCTTTGCAAAACCGTGGGATCAAATAAGTGGTAAACAGAAAAGGAAGCTCATCGGTCTCTCTGGTAGGGACTGCACTGAAATTTGTTGAAAGGTATAAACTTCAGGGCCATCGCTGTCAATATGCTAATGCTTAGAGAAGGACAAATAAGCTAGATGAAGCTGAATGCTTCTTACAAGAAAGCAAATGTTCAAAACAAATTGGGCAGCAAATAAATCTAATAAATGAAATGAAATAAAATATTGATTTAAGAGTGTCATTTATTTATCAGATGTGTATGTTCTTAATGTTGTTCCAGCTTCTCATATACAAATGATACAAAATCCAGAGTAAATATCATTGATAAGACAGGTAAACAAACAAACACTGTACAATTTACTATCTTAAAAATTAAGATAGTAAAGTAGGAGAAACCATCTTTTCTCCAAAGGGAAGATGTTCGCTAGGATTGGTGCTGTGATGGAAAGACATAATCTCCTAATCTCCCCTCAGTCCCATTTACTTCATAGAAATCTGGGATTGCTGTGATTATGATCTATGTATTGTAGATGTCAATCCTGGATGGAGAAGGTGGTCCTGAAGATACTGTAGTGGCAGCCATGTGGGGCTCTATTAGACAAAACCAGTCCTTGGATTTTCACTCAGAAAATTATCAGTAATTTGTGCAGGGCATTGAACATATTACTCTCTCATGGCAATTGCCTAAAATAGGAATTAAACTATTGTAAAGCAGTCCCCAAACTTTGCAGGTGATCTAAAGGATAGCAGGCTGATAATAACCCAAGCTAATGAGTAGTACAACAGTACTAGAAGTGGGGAACTACCCCAAACAAAGTCCTGGAAAAGATCATTAACTATACAACCAATGTTATTTCTGTCCCCGGCCTGGTAATAAATCCTGACTGAAAACGCAGTTTCTCCAGAGTTTTGTGGTTGCCTTGTCAGTATCTTCTCACGAAAAGGAAGGCTTCTGATGGGGTGGTCTTCCAATGGGCCAGATGTGGGCTGTGGCTCTTAAAGAGGGGGCGTATTGCAGTCTCCTTCCATGTGTCATCGTGTCCCAGCTACTGGCAGCAAAGAAAGAGAGATCTTCTTTTCTGTATCTACTGTAACGTTGGAACATCTGAAGAATATCTACAAGGGAATCCAAGGTACAATAAAAATTCAGCAGTGCAATTCAGTGCAAACATTCAATAAGCAACTGAGCTGTCTTTCTGAAGGATATATGGAACCTGTGCACCAAGGCTTCTAAGGAGAGGGAACTGAATACAAGATTAGGTAGCAAAAGGATTCTTCTGCTAATATGTAAGGCTGTAATCAGAAAGAGACTTACTTGCAATCACAAGACCGCTGGGACATTGCAATGGCTGGAATACTAAAGACCCATCACCAGGATCCTTTGCCCAGTGCTGCCACAAGTTTAAACGGTTGCTGAACAAGAAGTCATAACCTGGGAACCATGTTTATATTCATGGGATCTGAACTCTGAGAAATCAAACCGATACAAGAGAGAATGGTGAGGTGCCTGAATCAGCAAAAAAGGAAAAGAAAAAAAAAGAACCGCTTACTCCATATAATCTAGTCCCCAACATAGATGCAGGCCAAGCACACAGAGAAATTAGGGGCACATTAAAAATGATTATGTAAACAAAACATAGTCATAACTCATTATCTTTTCCCCCCAGTTACCTTCACGTTAAGAACATAATCCACTGAGATCTCAAATCTAATAGTATCCTCTTCTTGCACCTGTCCAGTCTTGGGTACAGTGCCTTTTTCTAATTTGTTACACCAGCATAAAAAAAATGATCATCTATGTCTTTTTAAATTTTCTTTCACGGGGTCTTTTATTTTTATTTTAACTTTTTAATCCGTTTTAACATTGCATTTTAACCTACCTATTTTTATCCTATTTTAACCTATTTTTAATCCTGAGTCCATGTGCACTCCTGCCTCGTGCTCACCTCGTGCGCCATCGGTGTGGTGCGTGGGTGGTGTCGTGGTAGCCGCGGGGCCCGCTTAACACAGCGGTGCTGTGTGAGACAAGCAGAGGCGGAGATGGTGCTGTTGGGGCAGCGGCTGGCGCTGGGTACGAAGGTGGCACGCGTGGAACGAGGCAGATGGCTGACCTTTCTTGGGCCGGGCCAGTTGGTGGCATGGCCAGTGCTGGACCTGCGCTGCCGCTGCCTCATCCTGTGCCTACATGGCTGCCTGGGAGCGCCTGGCCCGCAACGCCTGCTGCCGCCTGGGCCTGCCTGCCATCCGCACCCTCCTGCTGCCCCCCACTGGCATCTGGCTTGGCGAATGCAAGCACTGCACCATTGTGTGGTGTGCGGGTGGCGCAATGGGAACCGTGGGGCCCGCTTCACATAGTCGGGCTGCACGGGACAGGCCTTGGCGGAGGTGGTGTTGATGGGCAGTGGCTGGCGCTGGGTGGGAAGGTGGCGTGCGTGGGGCACGGCGGATGGCTGAGCAGCCAGCCAAGCTCCGCATCATCCATACCTGCAGCATCGGGACCGCGGTCCCGGTGAGCTGACGGCGCAGGTCGGGCACCCGGGAGTCCCCGATGGAGGAAGGCAGGTGTCAATCTAGGTCTGTTGTCGTCCCGAATGAAGAAAACAGGAACTCAGGAACGTAGTGCAAATTAGGTAGTTTATTAATGACTAACAAACAAAGTCAGCACTGGGAGTGGTTTGCTCCCAGTGCTTCTTATAATAATGCCACGCCCAAAACCCACCTTCTACCCAGAAACCACCATCTGCCCAGCTGCCTTTATAAGTCCATACATCTGACTCAGGCCCTCCTTCCCTGGAACCCCACCCCTTTGTTCCACCGTCTGGCCGGCCAAGGCATGGTCGCGTGTTGTTTCCTCGCGTCACGGCTCCTTTGTAACTGGTATGTCTGTTTGTGCCTTGCAGCTCCCCATGTCTGTTTGTGCCTTGCAGCTCCCCATGTCTGTTTGTGCCTCGCAGCTCCCCACAGAGAGCAGTCCCTGCGGTGACTTGTCACGTAGCCCGCTCCCTATGCCGCTCTGCCAGCCCTCGACATCCGGCTGACTGACGGGGCTTCCGGCCACCAGCTGGAAGGGAAGGCTGTTCAGTACTTTGCTCTGCGCTGGCTCAGGGGTGCCGGGTGTAGCACGGCCAGTCTCGGGGGAGGCCTGCTGGTTTCCGATGCCCAGCTGACTGGTGGAGCTTCCGGCCCTGGTTTCCATGGCGGCCAGTAGGAGGGCGGAGCGTCGGGGCTTGGGTTGCGCTGTTGCCAGCTGGTTCCTGAGACCCAGCTGGCTGGCGGAGTGCCCAGAGCTGGCTTCAGCAGCTTCTGGTAGGAGGGCGGGGCACCGGGGCTCATATCATGCAGCCGCCGCCTGTTGGGTGGTGTTGTGCAGAACGGCAGCCTGGTACGGCCGTGGTGGGTCATTTCCCACATTCCCCCCACTGGTGAATGGAAAGCCCCGTAGGGCTTGACATGCAGCCCCCCCACCACGTCTTCACCTGAAAGGTAAGGAGGATAAGGTGAGTGCACTTGTCCACACTTCATACTTCCTGGCTTCTCCGGGCATCGGCGATGGAACGCCTACAGGAGTCGAGGAGCATGTACATCCACCACCCCCACCCAGGAGGCCTCTGAAAGGGGATACCCCTTCCATTGAATGAGATACTGTAGTTTACCATGTTGTACCCATGAATCAATCACCTCCTGCACCTCATACTCTGATCCTGTTACTGGCCCTAGGCCCTTACTACCCACCAGGGACCCGTGCACAGGTTTTAGCAGACTGCCATGGAACACGGGATGTACCTTTCCCAATAATGGAGGCAACCGCAACCGTACCATTACCGGATTGATTACCTGGATTATTGGGAACGGTCCTATATACTTTGGCCCTAGTTTCCTCCTGGATACTGGTAAGTGGAGATATTTCATAGATAGATACACCCAGTGCCCCACTCTAAAAAGCTTGTGGTCAGCTCTCTTTCTATCAGCCTGAGTCTTAGCAACCACCTCAGCCTGTGTTAGAGCCTTCTTTACGTACCCCCAAGCCCTGTCACTCATGTCATCCATGCTTGGAGTGTGTGTATCATACCCG